TACGTATGGCAGCCTAGTCATCGCCTCCCTCGACAATGGGCAATGTTAGCCGATATAGTGTCAGGTTGGAAAAAAGGTAGCGGCGGTCAAACCAGAACATGGCACCAGTCAATGAAATCCACAACAGTTGGTCTAAGCCAGCCACGTAGGAAGGTGTAGACTTCCAGGCTGGGGTCCTCGGGACGGTAAAAATCTATGGTTGAAAACAATTGGTGACATGGCTCAAAATCGTTGTCAGTGGCGCAGATGCATCCACTCCTTGTGACTTATGATCTCCAATGAAACTGTTTTGTTCTTCGTTATTACTCCTTTGTCTCACACCTCTGCTCACTGTTTCTATTATGCTTTTCTTGTACTTTCTTCTCTTGCTTCGCGTGCTATACGGAGTGTGGCGACTTGAACTTCCGCACATTTGTGCAGAGTTGTATGTCGAAAACAGACGGACAGAGACAAGGGGCCGATGTGTCAACCTGAGACCGAGCACCACTTCGGTCCAATCAATCAATCGATGGGAAAGTCTAAAATTCAATTGAAGTTACATTTGTTTGTTTGTCTATGTCAGTGTCTAAGTTAAATACTAAGTGCAAATAAGAAAAAAAATGCGTTCTTCTGTATACATTTGCAATAATAAGAGTAGTTAGACGAATTTATATATGCAGGGGATGAGAAGAAGATCACACCTGAAAGGTGCGTGTGTGTGTGTGACGAAACATAGTATTTAATGAATTTATAGATAGATTATGGCCTGTTTGAACCAGATGGTCTAACATTGTGAACTGTTGTTCCTTTTCACTAGTGGTGAGTTGTGTGGCCAATATGATTGGCTGGTTCCACAGGAACCGTTCACAATTGATAGATACAAGCCCTTAGAAGGCACTTCAGTCGGAGAATTACAACTGGTTGTGTGTGTGTGTGTGTGTGTGGAAAGCATCAACTGCAATTTGGCCGCTTTAAAAGTCCTTTGAATGGATTATCTTCTAACTTCTTTTTACTGGTCATTAATTTCTATACACACGTTTAAATTGTAGGCGCATGCAATAAGGTTTTTCTTATTCACAGTAGTTCTTGTCGACTTTTTTTCGGGATAGTTGTATTTTCACTGAAGGTGTCATATATATAAATGTGAAATCTTAAGTGCATCTTCAAGTATGGCAGCCATATGCTGCAATTAGCGCATAACACCTTTGTGTGCGTGTGTGTGCGCACATTTCAATCAATGCGAATTTCTATGCAGAGGTTTGTTTGTTTTTAATTCTGGAATGTGAGTCAATACGAACATTCTCTACGCCTTAGGTGGTAGTTGAACGCGTGTTTGCTGACAAAGGATGACAAACATATTCAATGTGTCGGAATTGACGTGTATATGAGAATGGACGTAATACCCAAACCAACAAATGCACTTCACTCAGCCAGCCCTGTGTCAACCAAAAGACTCAACAGCGAAAGAAGATAAAGCCAACATCATCATCATCGACAAAATAAATTGTAACAATTGCGAAAAACACTACATTGGCCAAAGAGGACATCCCTGCTCTTCATCTTCGTATCCACGAAACATAAGTTAGCCGTCAAAAGACATGATATCCACACCCTCACTTATATCGCCTCACTGCATACAGACAACCACGGACATCAATTCGACTGGGACAACCGAACCAGCGTTCAAATATTAGACAGACAGAGGAAACAACACCAAGAATGCCAGCAAGAGAATTTTTAGAAGCCTACCTGGTGGTATTCCAGTGAATCATCAATCAATAGACACATCAAGATGGACAAAATTTATCAACCAATAAGAAAGAAACCTCACACACACACACATAGACACACAAAGGGTCAAAGTTCAAGTCAAAGAAACAATCAGTTCTAATATTGATATAAGTAGCCGCCTACAGGGGGTGTGAAAACACACACAAAAACAACCAATCACGGCGTCCAAGGTGGTCACTCACCGAGCGGTAGAGATGATTAATGGTGAACTCGTGGAGAAATCTAAAAGCTCACTGTTATGTACTGGTCGAGAATTTAATAGTCTTGGCGCAAGAAGATGGAAATCAGAAGACCACTAGGTTTGCGATAATACTTCTATTTTCCGAACACAAGGAGAATCAATATGTCACACAAGAGTGTGAGAGCAAAAATATATGAATGTCGGAACAAGTGTGTGAGCGAATATTCAAAATGAACAAATCAATAGACAGTCTTAACATGATTGGCTAATTATAATGGAATATCGATCCATATATACATAGCAAATATACAGACTGTCAAACAAACACACATATTATATGGATATATATCACCTCCCCTTTTGAGAAGATTGATGATTAGAAGCGTGTTTTCTTGGGGGTTTATCTGGAACCGTTGAACTTGTTGTTGACGTCTGTCTGTTGGGTTTGCGGCTTCGGCTTCGTCCGGAATTATCTGACATTTTATGCTTCTTGACTGCATTGAATAGCGAATTTAGTGGGACATCAGCCAGATGCAAACGATCGAACCAATCAAATCCCAAAAGATTTAAATAACTCTTGGTGACGTAGCAAATCCCTGTGAATTTGATGTTACGGAATGAAACAGAACATTTGACTTCACCAATTAGTTTGAGCCGCCCACCACAGGCGCTGACAAGAGTCTGGGAAGTATTTGCGATTGGTCGTTTGCCAATATTATATATAACAGTAATATCAGAGGCGGTATCTAGCTGCAGACGTGTATCATGACCATTCATCTGAAGATCAAGATATTTCCGCACACCTGGTGTTGTGACTTGACAGGTTGCGACTAGACTCATAGACCTTTTTGGGGAATAAGGACCAATAGTTGGTCGAGCTTTCGCTGGTTTATGATATCTGGGTTTGCGTGGCTGACAAAAACCATTTTTATGACCAATGATTTTGCACTTGCTGCAACGGTGATTTTTGTATGGACAAGACTTTACAAAATACCACGCGCCACAATGCCAGCATGGTGATGGAGGGGTCTTCTTTGCAGTATTTTGTGAAGTTGGACGAGTATGTGTAGATTTACGCGGAACATTAGAAGAAGTAGGTGGGTCAGGACTGGATGATGAGAGATTCTTGCTCTTTCGTAATGCATGAATATCAGAGCTTCTCGAAGGTGTTGATTCGACCAGGTGTGTGTCTTTCTGCAGATTAATCAGCCGTTGATATTCATCAGCTATGTCATGTAATGTTAACTTAGGATTTCGTTCTAGCTGATTGAGCAGTCGAGTTCGGATATCTGTGAAACGAGGAGATTGAAGACTGTATATGAGAATCAAGGCTTTGAATTGATCATCTGTTAAGGACCTGAGTCGAAATCTCTCACATTCTCGGTTGACTGTGCCAACATGAGTAAGAAAATCATCATTTTCATTCATTGTCAGCTTGAGGCAACGATAACGTATGCTGAATAATGAGGAGTGGTCTCCAAAATGTTCACGCAGCAGCTTTATTGTATCATCGAAACAGTTGTCACGTGGTTTTTGGGGTAAAATTAGGTTGCAGTACCTATCATATTCTGCGGGACCCAATTTACGCAATAATACTCGCACCTTCCAGGCATCGTCTTGTGAGGCGAGATCAACAGTGAATAAATCCTCATATCGTTGATACCATGTGTCAAAAGTGACATTCGCATCTGGATTATAATTGAACTGTGAAATACTATTCACAATGCCGTCGACAGATGGTAGCATGGTATGATTGGGATTGCTTGAAGGTGAAACTGAACCATTCTGTTGGTTGATGAGCATTTCCATCGGTTTCATTTGTTGTTCAAATAGTAATTCCAATTTAGAAGAGTCAATAGTGTTCCCCGTTGCCAAATTATTGTTATGTACTGGTCGAGTAGTTAATAGTCCTGACGCGGAAAGAGGGAAATCAGAAGACCACCAGGTTTACGATGATACTTGTATTTTCCAGACAAGGAAAATAAATGTCACACATCTAGTACTTCTAATACGTTATGCGAAGCTGTGAGAGTCACTGTTGTCTTGGTAGGAGCTGGAATTCTAACCACCGATTCAGCATTGAGATTTGATCATCCAGGTCATGTGATCACGACTCACATAATTACTGTAGGTTGTCGCGAAATGGATAGAATCACAATGTGATTGTTAAGTGTAACAAAGCAACTCCATGATATATACAGACATCTTATAATCGACGAAAGAGTACACAATCTCACTTGTGTATTCCTTGTCTAAAGCAATATATCGCCTAAAGTAAAATATTTCCTCATAAAAGGGAAGTTTGCATAAAGTCACTGTTAAGAGAAAATATTCATGTAAGTTCAGTTATAATTCTACTAATTCAGGTATTCCGTTTGGTGGCATGAGCGTTGCTTTTCACCCAGTTATCCGATGTCATTTTTAGTATTGATACTGTGTTGAGAGCTGGCTGTTAGTCAAAATTGGTAAAAATGGAAATTAACACGTCAACAATGTTTATGTCCCCAAATATTGGTCGTGAGAAAAATGAGAAGAAAGGCTTTGCGTAGGCGGATACAGTTAACATATAGATGATCTTCAAGTGTTGGGTTGTAGGGATTTGATTGGTTACAGGATTTCATCATGAGTTGACATTAGTTCGAGAAGTCGTGACCAGAAGGGTGCACCAGGTGGGGTGTGAGGACAAATGCTTGCCGAAGACATTGGCTAGTGGTTGCGCTATGTCGTGAATTGGCAGAAGTTAGAATTCATGTACTGGCCATTGGATCTGGTCCTAGTGGCTTAATGGTATACAAACTGGCCTTGTAACCGGAAGGTCCTGGGTTCGAACCGCAATCGGGTGGGCGGGTACTGAGGACGAGTCCCAAACTAGGACTAGGGGGAAACAGCTGTCCAGTACTCCCAGGTTGGCTTTCCAATGGTTCTCGAACTAATATAGATGATCTGTTGCCTGGCTGGCCTTGTCTTCTGTTGCTACAAGCTGACCACTGTTACATTTCATATATTTGTGCTGTTCCCTTTCTTTTTTTACTTTTGCCCTCTCACATAGGTCACTGTGGACTCAATTTCGTATGGATGGGGTGTAGCAATCAACTTGAAGAAACGTCAATGTATTGATCGGTCATCTAGACCTGATTCCTTTTATATTTTAGACTGTCTACTTCGTTGTAATCCATCGAAACAAGAGAAAAGCGATCCAGCTTGTACAAAACTTGAAGAAAATACACCGCCTGAGAATGCTGCTACTCATCCTGGGAATTGTTCAGAAACTGTCAATGAGAATGTTGATGGTGTCAATTCAGAACCTGTTGATGGCAACACCTGTAGTAGTAGTAGTGGCGGTACCCAGTCATCCCCTGAGATAATACCAATCAAATTGGACTGTATTGTTGGCATTAGTGCTATACGCTTAGTGTTACCAAGCGATCTCCGGCAGAAGGAAGCTAGACAGGATGTTTATGGATCGATAAAAAATGTTGAAGCTCATATGGATGGTCATTTACCGATGTTAGATCCTGTGAAAGATATGAATATTACGGATCCAAAATTTACTGAAATAAATGAGGTAAGGTTAAGGTGTGTGTGTGTGTCTGTAGATCCCCTTTTTTGTGAACTACTTGACGCCCGCTAGTTTACGCCGTCTCTGGCTTAGTAGACGTGATATCCTGCTGACTGGCTGTCGACCAAAGGCGGGTGTACTTCTCATCAGTCCGCTCCGTCCTCCTTTATGCCTTGCTGGCTGTGAGAGTGGAAGACATGAAAAGCCTGGTTAGCTGTCTTTGATCATAGGTTCCTGCCTGCGTTCTATCTCCCGTGTCAGGTGATGGTATAATAAGGTGAGCAATATTCAGGTTAGGCATCGATCGAGTGTTAGGTAGGTAAGGTGGGGAAATCAATCGACGAGGCTGTGATATTACATCGACTGAGTGAGATGGTTAGGACATGTGTTACGAATGAATGACTAGTCATCGCCTTCCTCGACAATGGGTTATGTTAGCTGACTGACATATGCACCGTCAGGCTGGAAAAGAGAGATCTAGCGTCGGTCAAACCAAAACATGGCTTCATCACCAGTCAATGAAATCCACAACAGTTAGTTTAAGCCAACCAACCAGCCACGTAGGAAGGTGTAGACTTCCTGACTAGTTGGTTGGGATCCTCGGCATGGTAAAAACCAATGAAGGCTGGGAACAATTGGTGATATGGTTGGCTCAAAGTGATCGTTCTCAATGGCCGGCTGGCTCAGATGCATCCACTCCCTGTGATTTATGATTTCCAAAGAAACTATATTGTTCTTCTTTCGTTATTACTATTCTTTTGTCTCACACCTGTTTCCTGTCTCTCTATTATGCATTTCTTCTACTTTCTTCTCTTACTTTGTGTGCTACACTACGTGGAGTGGAGTGTGGCGAATTGAATTGGCGCATATCGGTGGAAAGTACTATGTCGAAAACAGACAACAGACCCACCCCTACCACCCATAAAGTATGATGTGTCCTCAATATAACGAATAGATATTTCTTAAAGGGGAGGGTGGGTAGAGTCTTTTGGCAAAGAAGAGGAGTGAATCGATGAGTTTGTGTGGAGCTTCATCGGTTGATGCACACACATCGCGCTAAGCCCGCGACTTTCTCGACGCTTAGTAGTATTAGTTGATATTGAATTGAGGAGTTGGAAAAGAGGCACGGGAAATGATTAAAGGAAAAAAAAACTGTTAATATTTGATGAAATATTCGACTGTTATCTTGAACCACGCACTCTAAAATTATTCTGCGGAGCACCGATGCATTCACTTTTGTATGTTCTTTCTTATTCAATAAAAACCCTAGTATGTAATAACTGTATGATGACTAGCACTGGAATGCAGGATGCGCATTTCGTCCTGTTTCGAACGCGTCATCTGTATGTACCTGCATTTCCCATTGAGTGATGATGTTTTTCCTAACGAGGCTCGAACCCAGTGCCCATAGGTTTCAATCACCAGCCAAAGCCTCCTTATCCACTAGACCACTTGGGCCACGAGTTTCAGCTCTTGTGCAACGGGTCATAAAATAATGATTTGACGTGGGCACTGGGTTCAAGCCTCGTTGGGAGGAACATCATCACTCCCTTGGGAATGCAGATACCATGGCAGTTGACGAGTCCGAAACAGGACGAAATGCGCATCCTGGATTCGACTGCTAGTCACACCATCCAACAACTAAAAAAATTCTAATTACATGCCCCCAGGCATTGTCGAAGCATCTCTGCACAAGAAGCCAACAGACATGTCAACCTGAGGTCGACCACTTCGGTTCAATTAATCGGCGGAAAAATCTAAAATTCATTTAACAAACCTTAGTAGTTTCACGCGTTACTCTATTGCTTCTCCCTGATAATTCTGTTTATCATAGTAATTTTAAATCTCTTTTTTTTGTTGTTGTCTATTTTGTATACCCCTTTGTAATGATACATAGAGTTTGGGAATTTGAACAGCTACACCTCTCTGTCTGACGTTCTTTATTGAAACTTAGTCAGTTAGTTTTAAAGATGATAGTAATAAATAATAATTTTTCCTTCACGTTCCCAGTGGAACATAGGGCTCCAAGCTAGGGGCTTGAAGTTTCTGTAGCAGTCTTTAATTTTTACAGGATGGGGTTGCTAGCCTCATGCCCAACCTTTCCTCTTTACCAGCATTATTTCTGGCTGAGTGAGGTAAAGGAGTGCGCCGGCCGGGTATCGAACTCCGGACCATATGCATGGTCGGCGAGCGTGCTAACCGCTATACCACCGACGCACACAAAGGGTGTTTTTTTAAACCACAAGTTGAAAGAATGATTGTTATTATGATGTCGTCGCCAATATATTATGGTGTTTGGCGGAGTGCAAATTATTATACGCTAATGAGATGTAACGGTCGATAAAGTACAGACTGGTAACTGCTGTGTTGTTAATTTGTCCTGACGCGAATGTAGCAAATCGGAGGAGACCACCACCACACCACCTTTACGAATGGATACGTATATTTTTCAACAAGGCAAAATTAACTGCCACACACACACACACATGAGTGTGAGTGGAAAAGTATGAAAATGTGTGAATTAAACCGTTAGTTGAGTTATTTTCTATATACTAACACACATCAACCAATCATAAGACAGATAAAGTAGTTTTTCTTACCCTCTCCGCACGGACTGGATTCTGATTGGTTGTAATGTCACGTGACCAAGGTCATACAGAACAAAATGAATGATCAATCTCTCATCAAGGGAACATTAGTGAGATAAAAGTACTTGGAAAAAAGTGACTAAATTTCAATATAACAGAGTAGCACTAGGTTCAATAGACAAGACAACGACAGAAGAGGTTTGAGCCCAATGTGCAATTAACCCTGAAAAATCAAAACAAAAAAAGGCGAAATCAAACTAAACAAAATCGGAAAGAGAAGCTTTAATTAGTCTAAAACAGGATAAAAATATTGTCATTTGCAAAAGCTGACAAAGGAAACGCCACCGTAGTTCTAAATAAATCTGACTATATTAAAAAAAAAGTTACTGAACATATTCAAACAGGTCCATATGAAGAAATTAAGAAGCCTGTTGACACAATAATGAATAAGGTTAAGAAATCTACAGCAGTACTGGTACGCAGAATGAAGCCGTCACTGGGTGAGTCAAAATGGTTTAATTTAATGCCTAAAAATAATAATGCTAGTAGAATGTGTGGTACTATTAAAATACATAAGCGAGGCTAGCCCATTAGACCAATAGTAGAATTTAGAAATATCCCTACTTATGAATTATCAAAACACTTAGCTCTAATAAATATTATGCCCCATTAGAAATCGTTCAAACTCTAGACTAACTAACTAATTCATATGAAATGATGAAAAATAAACTAAACGACACTCAACTAGAGAATGATGAAAAAGGAATTGGTTAGTTTAGATATAACTAGTCTTTACACTAATATACCAGTCAATACGGCCTTAGAAGCAGTTAAAAAAGAACTAACTGCGGATCCTGAACTCAATCATAGGACAAAGCTGCCCATTGAAGAAATTATTTTAGGGATTCAGTTATGCCTCACTCATATCTACTATCTTTAAATTCAAAGGTAAAGTATGTAGACAAACAGAAGGTGTAGTAACGGGATCACCAATATCCCCTATTGTAGCAGATATATTTATCGACAGCTGGGAAAGTAGTGCCTCTTGATACGTTTAATCCTACTCCAAAGATAATATGGTGGAGATATGTGGATGACACTTTCACGGTGTTAAAAGTAGAACGTATCTCTAGCTTCTGGACACACAAACTCACTAGTGGAGGGAATAAAATTCACATTTGAATCGGAAAATGAACAAGGAGAATTAGCTATGCTAGATTGTAAAATAAAACGAATAGAAGGTAAACTGCACACTAGTGTGTACAGAAAACCAACTCATTCTGCCAATAGATATTTAGACTTTAATTCATCTAATCCGTTAACTGTTAAGGCAGGTACAGTTAAGTGTTTAACAAACCGAGCAGTGGCACTAAGTAGCACAAAAATAGACCACCCAAATGATGAAATAAAACAAATAGAAGAAGAAGCGTTGGTGTCAAATAACTATCCTATAAAATTCATTGGGTAGATCAGTAGGGGCCAAAAGCAAAATAAAAATAATTGTCAAACTAGAAGTGATAACATATATATGAGAGAGAACATAAGTCATCTACAGTTATACCATATAAAGAGGGGACATCTGAGACTCTACGTAGGATTCTAAATAAAGCAGGAATTAGGCTGGTGGTGGCATTTAAACCTACAAACTCACTCAGGGACAAGCTCTGTAGGCTAAAGGACCCAGTTGACCCAATTAAACAAAATAATATAATTTACAAAACACCCTGCAATGACTGTGAGTTACGTCAAACTAGTAGGTCAGGGGTAGTCAGATTGTCGGAACATAAGAATTTATTGGCTAAGGTAAGAATGGTTGACCCCACCCGCGAAGATAAATAACTTAGAAAAAGGCTCAGCAATTGCACTGCATGCATTAACACACAACGGAATGGTGGGAGAGGGTTAAAATTCTAAAAAGTAATCTAGGTAGGTGGAGAAAGAGAGGGAGATTGATTACTGAGTCCTGGTTCATCGAGTCTACACCCAACACATGCAATAGAAATGATTCATCACTCATACCCAAAATATGGAAAATACTACTACCAATCAAATCAAGTGAAAAACAATGGAACTATATAAAATGAAGTTAGAAAGTTGTGTGAGTAGCGCCTTGACATGATTATGAGCAATAAATTGTTCTCGAAACGTGGTCATCAGTAAACATTACTGTATATTATATATTATTATGATTGATATAATTGTAATTTTTTTTAATTTATTTAGAAAGTGGATGCTTTTCAAGAACGCTTACATCACCATTGGTTACATGATGATCCTCGTTTGCCTGAATTGTTAAAAGTATATGAAAAGAAAAAAGAAATATGTACACGCATGGACACTTTGACGACAACTTTGAATAGTAAAGTTTCACTCATACAACTGGAAGAATTATCTGCACGTAAACGTATCCTTAGACGATTGAATTTTGTTTCAGAACATGATGTAGTTCAGTTAAAAGGTTTTGTAGCTTGTGAAATTACATCAGCTGATGAACTCTTATTAACTGAACTGTTATTCGATGGAGTCTTTAATCGGCTATCAGCTGAGCATACTGCAGCACTACTCTCGTGTTTTGTAGTCAGTGAAAGGACTGGTAAAATGCCGAAATTAACTAAAGAGTTGGCCGATGCATTACATACATTACAAGTAGGTTATTATTGTTATTATTATTATTAATGTAAGCTTTTGTAGAGCTCTCTTTTTTACTTGTCTCATCATTAGGTTTAGAAATCCGTCAACAAGTTGTCCATTTTTGTCAGCCTACTACTGGTGTTGATCAAATCGCCACACTACGTATTATCATTGTGAACAGAACTTGGAATGGCTCTCACCTCTCTATCTCACTCAACTTCATTGACTTTGAAAAGGCCTTCGATAGCGCAGCGTCGATTGCGAGGTGATTTGGCAACCACTTCGCTACTATCATGGGGTCCTGACGACAATTATACATGTCATCCAACAGTTGTACAACAAAGCTGTGCATGCCAAGTAATCCACAACGGGAAACTTACGGAATCCTTCGAAATCGAGATTGGAGTAAGACAAGCTGGCTGTCTAGTATCGATGATTTTCCTGATTGTAGTAGATTGAATAATGCGACAGAATAGCGGTCCAAGCAATGAGGAAATAGGCATAAAATGGAATCACACAAAAAAATAACTTGGAGCATCTGGACTTCGCCGATGTGATATATATGTCTGATTTCCCACAAAGTGCTGGAAGATATGCAAATGAAAACCAACAAGTCGGCGGAACACTCATCCAGAGAAGATAACACTTTCTTCAGGTGAACATAGAGAAACCAGAGATAGGTGGTGAAGATTCTTGGCCAACACCAACAGACAACAATCAGCCAGCACAAATGGTAGGAACCTGAAAGAAACAACCTCCTTTACCTACCCACCGACATGGGAAGCATCGTTTCAACTACAGGCTGACGGAACTGACGAGGATATCAAAGAAGCGAGGATCGGGAAAGCAAGACAAGCCTTCATTACTCTCAAGCCTGTGTGGAGGTCAAAGGCACACAGCACTAATCAACATGAAAATGAAAATAAGATCCGGATTTTCAACTCCAATGTAAAGTCAGTCAGTACTACTCACCATACGGATCAGAGAACTTGGCCAGCGCGTCATAAAGAGCACCTCAAACAAACTACAGACCTTCATTAACAGCTAGCTGTCTTCGCTCAATACTTTGCTCAAGATCAGATGGTCGGCTAGAAAAGATCAGCAACAGAGCGGGATCTCTGGCAATGAGTGAACCAACCAACAGCAGGAACCGATTGTGCAACAAATAAGCAGGAAGAAATGGAGGTGGATTGGCTGGCCATACTCTGAGAAAATAAACCATCAAGTGACATTAGTAGACAAGTCATTGCTCGAGTGGAACCCAAAAGGAAGCGTCGAGTTGGTCGTCCAAGGGTGACGTGGAGGAGGTTATGTGAAGAGGAGATGAAAGCCTGTGGGCAGACTTGGGGCCAGGTGGAAACTCTAGCAGAGAACCGAACGCAATAGGGAAGCGCCGTTGAGGTCCTATTTTCCTGTAGGAATTAAAGGGAAAAAATTGTATATATATATATATATATATATATATATATATAGATAGATAGATAGATAGATAGATAGATAGATAGATAGATAGATAGATAGATAGATAGATAGATAGATAGATAGATAGATAGATAGATAGATAGATAGATAGATAGATAGATAGATAGATAGATAGATAGATAGATAGATAGATAGATAGATAGATAGATAGATAGATAGATAGATAGATAGATAGATAGATAGATAGATAGATAGATAGATAGATAGATAGATAGATAGATAGATAGATAGATAGATAGATAGATAGATAGATAGATAGATAGATAGATAGATAGATAGATAGATAGATAGATAGATAGATAGATAGATAGATAGATAGATAGATAGATAGATAGATAGATAGATAGATAGATAGATAGATAGATAGATAGATAGATAGATAGATAGATAGATAGATAGATAGATAGATAGATAGATAGATAGATAGATAGATAGATAGATAGATAGATAGATAGATAGATAGATAGATAGATAGATAGATAGATAGATAGATAGATAGATAGATAGATAGATAGATAGATAGATAGATAGATAGATAGATAGATAGATAGATAGATAGATAGATAGATAGATAGATAGATAGATAGATAGATAGATAGATAGATAGATAGATAGATAGATAGATAGATAGATAGATAGATAGATAGATAGATAGATAGATAGATAGATAGATAGATAGATAGATAGATAGATAGATAGATAGATAGATAGATAGATAGATAGATAGATAGATAGATAGATAGATAGATAGATAGATAGATAGATAGATAGATAGATAGATAGATAGATAGATAGATAGATAGATAGATAGATAGATAGATAGATAGATAGATAGATAGATAGATAGATAGATAGATAGATAGATAGATAGATAGATAGATAGATAGATAGATAGATAGATAGATAGATAGATAGATAGATAGATAGATAGATAGATAGATAGATAGATAGATAGATAGATAGATAGATAGATAGATAGATAGATAGATAGATATAGATATATATGAGTCAGTGGCGCAGTGATAGAATGCTCGCCAACCGACCGAAAGCTGCTACCTGGACGTGGTGGTCGGGCTTGAACACCGCAATGTCCTAACAAGCTATACTGACTTAGACCTATGTCTCTTGAGGTCCTACCATGCCAGAATGTTTGTTTGGATAGCGGTTGGACAAAAAGCAGCTACCCAATCAATACTGTGATACATACAAACTCAGAAAATTTCATGCCGGATCGGTCGGGGCCCGGATTAACAACGACCGCGCTACCTGCTGCCCTGTCACAGGGCACAAGTGATAAATATGCTACTGAGACACATTAGACAAAAACAGGTCGCGTGTGACCGGCCTCAAAGCAGTTGTCCCCTGACCTCTGCGGTCATGCAACCAACTTCCACGGTGTGGGCAGCCGAGAAGTAACAATCGCCCTCACAATCCGACATGCACACGAAACCTCTCTAATCCGCACTCATCTTTGTCTTCATCTTCATCTCTATTATCTTGCCTTCCTTCCACTGATGCAACTCCTCTACTTGACGGCTCTTCACTTCCTCTTCACTCTGTGTTCACTCAAAACGACGGAAGCCGAAAAGCCACCACCGATAGTCTCCTAAAGCCACGCCACCAATTTCATATAGAAGCATTTAGTGTTAAGACACTGTGCCAAATAGGACAACAAGCATCACTAGCTAAGACCCTGGCATCCCGAGCCATTGATGTATGTTGTGTTTCAGAAACACGCATACAAGACCCAAGTGTGGTTATTCACCTAACCCCACCTGGCCAACAGGTTGAATCTTCAAAATTCACCTTGAGGGTTTCAGGAGATGCCACAGCCAGTTCACGAGGATTAGCTGGCGTAGGGATAGCTTTGAGTACTAGGGCAGAAAAGACACTACTTGACTGGATCCCGGTAGATAGCCGATTGTGTGCTGTCCGTCTCAACGGGTCAGTAAGACCAAATAGCAATAAGCTATCGTTGGCGTGGGTCGGTAGGAGATTGTCGCTCCTTCTGGAATACGTGTGTAGATACCGATCACGCACTGGTCCAGGCTCGTGTGTGCTTACGACTGAACGGACGTAGGAAACAGCTGGCGGTAAAACCATCACGTCCCCAGCTCGATCAGGAAACTAAATCCGTATTTGAGGAAGAACTAGCTAAACACATATCTGTGTTCGACAGCTGTGCTCACCCTGGAGAAGCTTGGAAGAATATTCAGTCAGCCATAGATATAGCTGTAAAAGTTGTGAATAAGGCAAATCCAAAGGTGAGTAAAAACCACTGGATTTCGACTGCCTCATCCAAACTGATAGATGCTAGAAGACTTATTCCGGCGAGCTCCGAATTCAATGAGGAGCGAAAGCTGCACAAAAGAAAACTTACTAAAAGTCTCCGCAAGGACCGTGAACAGTGGTGGGTGACAAAGGCGAAAGAGATGTAAAAAGCATCGGCGATAGGCGACACCAGGCAACTCCTTAGACTCATCAGGGAAACGGGTGGGAGAAGACAAATCATAAGTGAAACAATCTCGGAGAAAAATGGCACCACAATTAGCTCCCAGGATAGACGACTGGAACGCTGGAAAGAGCATTATGAGGAGCAGTTTAATTGGCCCACAGCCACGCTCAACCTTCCGAACATCCAACACCTTTCTGAATGGGATATAGACACAGGTCCCTATTCCTTAACTGAGTTTATTAAAGCTGTCACCAATCTGAAACAAGGCAAAGCAGCGAGACCTGATGGAATGACTCCAGAGGTATTTAAGTACGGTGGAGACAGTTTACTGTCTGCATTAACTGAGGTACTAGGCAGCGTCTGGGAATCAGACAGAGGAAGTCCCATCGGGTTTGTGTAAGTCACTTATCATCCCCATATACATGAAGAGAGACAAGTTCTCCTGTGATGATCACAGAGGGATCAGCTTGACTAATATGGTGGTATCTAAAGTCCTAGGCGTAGACTAAGTGGTGCTCGGGAGGCACAAATACGAGAGAGCCAGGCAGGCTTTAGACTAGGAAGAGGGTGTATTGATCATATCCTCACCCTACGACAGATTCTAGAACATAGGGATTCCTACCGGCGTCCAACAATCATTATATTCCTTGAGCTAAAGGCGGAATTCGATTCTATCGACCGAGAGATTCTCTGGCGATGCTTGGCTGTAAAGGGAATGCCAAGAAAATATATTGCACTGATTAAGGCACTCTACTTGTACTCAGACAGCCAGGTGAGGGCTTACAGCGGGTTGTCATCTGAAGGGGTGACGACTAGTGGTGTCCGTCAAGGAATCCCATGACACCCATTTCTATTCAACTTCATTATAGATTTACTAATGGACTTAACCCTAAGTGACTCAGGGATTGACTTGCTACCACCAGGGAATAATCTCGTTGACCTCGAATATGCAGACGATATAGTCCTTCTGGGCTAGGACGCTGGCAAAATGCAGATACGGTCTTCTGAACACTTTGAGCTGCAATCTACGAATGTTTGGCACGACAGCGATTCGCTCCTGCTGTCAAATGTAAGATGATGTTACAGGACTGACTGGACTACACGAAGATTCCTAGCCTAGCAATACGGAATGAAGTGGTTGATGGAGCACGTTGACCGCTTCACTTATTTGGGAAGTGCCATCAGCCAGTGCCAACGGGTTGATCTCTGACGAAATCTCACCTGAGTACGGATACATAGGGCTAGTTTCGTACATGCCAGTTTACGCCGTCTCTGGCGTAGACGAGATGTTCGACTATCGACCAAAGGGCGGGTGTACTTCTCATCAGCCCACTTCATCCTTCTTTATGGCTGTGAGACCTGGCCACTGAGAGTGGAAGACATGAAAATAGTGACTAGCTGTCTTTGATCATAGGTGCCTGCGCTCTATTTCCCGTGTGAAGTGGCATAATAAGGTGAGCAATATTGAGGTCAGGCATCGGTCGAGTTCTAGGTAAACAGGGGAAATCAATCGACGAAGTTGTAAAGTTACAAAGACTGAGATGGTTAGGACATGTGTTACGTATGGCAGCCTAGTCATCGCCTTCCTCGACGAGCAATGTTAGCGGATATAGGGTCAGGCTGGAAAAGAGCTAGTGGAGGTCAA